TAAGTATAATTTTTGGTTGGTCTTTTTGTTTTGAAAATTCAAGTTAGATTGGATTGGGTCGGATTTTTTTAAAGGTGAGGTTGGATCGAGTTCGGATTTAAGATAAAAATATGATCTGACCCGACATAATAATATAATTATCTCTCATATATTTAGGGATATATACGATAAAAATCTTTTTTTATATTATCTTTCTTGACTAAGGGGCCGTTTGTTTGCCTCTTAATGGAACCATTCAGTGCTGAATGTTGAACCGTTCAACATTCAGCGCGTTTGTTTTGCATCTCTGAATGATTCAGAGCTGACTGATTCAGTAAAACAGTGCTGAATGATTCAGCACAGAAGTACATTCTGAATGATTCAGAGTCATTATCAAACAACATGTCACATTCAGAGCTAATTCATACAGAGTCTCTGAATCATTCAACATTTGAATCATTCAGCGCTTAATCATTCTGAAGTAAACAAACAACCCCTAAGTATTTATTTTACCTAATATATATAGGTCGAGTAGGATGCAAATTTTGACTTAAAAATAGAGTCGAGTTTCTGGTCAGATGAGATTCTCTTAAATTCAAATCATTTTTTTTATTAATCTAGGTAATTACAAGTGGTTGTATTTGTTCTAAAAATTCACAACCATTTGACAATAAACGCTCAAATACTTTGTTGTCATTGGTGCTCAAACCTGAGACCTCTAAGGATAAAAAACAATCCCTTTAACCACTAAGATCGTTTGGTTGTGCCCTAAACTCAAATCATATCAGATATGTTTGGGGAGATTTAATTTTTGAATCGATTGCTCAGAAATCTACCTGAATCTGACCCTACCCATAGTGAACCCTAGTTATTTATCGATGGTTCAATTTGTCATAACTTCAAAAAGCAATTAAAATGATTTTTAGTATAAATTTTAATATGACTGTAAAAGGAAGATAAGATTAGGGATAATTTGATCTAAATTTGATAGATTTTAATTTTATTTTATTTATGGGATCATTTTTAAACTCTAATTTGAGTTAGGTTTTATGAATTACGAGGTTGGAACGAGTTGAATTTATGATGAAAAATAGTCAACATGACCCCAAGAATAATAGTATAATGAATTTTTGTATATTTAGAGATGATTTCTATAATATTCTCTTTATATTTTTTAATTAGATTTTTATTTTAACGAATAAAAATGAGAAATTTTTATATTTGAGTTAGATCAAGTCAAATCGATTTTTTATCCTAAAGTTCAAGTCAGGTATTGGGTCGAGTGAAACTTCCCTAAATTCGAACTAAATCATGTGTCAAGTGAGAGATATAATTCTCGAGTCAGGTATAAATCGAAAAAAAAATCGACTTATTATTATTCCTAGTTAAGATGAACGAATTGATAGATGCTAAGTTTTCAATCATGAATAGAATTAAGATGAAATAGTTAAGGTGATAAATTACTTACATTAAAAACAATAAGGACTCGTCATGTATGCATGTACATCCCTCCATGGCCTCAACTTTAGGTTATGAACTTCTCGGTTCTCACCATGAACAACTCCGTCCCCACTGGAACTCTTCAATAAAACGAAGGGGATTGAGCCTTATTTAATGCTTGGATCGTATCCGCAACATAAAAATATAATTATTTTTAAGAAATAAATCACATAGTAACACGTACAATCACAATACTATAACTGCAACCATGATCGTAATTTAGTACTATGGTCTCTTAGAGAGCTCTGCTTGAAATTTATGGATCATATCATGCAGATGAACAGTTTGAGACCATTAGATCAACCTGCAACTCTCTCGAGTGCCTACATTTGCATTACGGTTGCGGGCATTTTGGATTTTTCTAAACATTGTGAGATTCAAAAGAAAAATAAAATTTTTATACTATCACACAAGAAGAAGATTAACTACAAATCAAAGCAATGCACTAATAATCATCACTCCCATAGCTACACACAGATAACAAACCTGTGCTTTTACCTATCTTCTCTTCATTTGCATGTTTCTTCACAATGATCACTGATGGCTTCAATATTGGAGCTCCACCATCCGTGGGGTTACTCAACATTTCTTCACATACCTTTCTCCTCTTCGAATCATTGTCGTTGAAAACATCATCTGAAATCCTCCGAGTCACTTTTTGCCTCTGTAAAATTGATTTGATAAGGGCATTGTCTTCTTCGTCGTCGTCTGTTTTCTTCTCCTTTTCCGAAGCAGTGCGGTGCAAGTTCTCCATCATTGCATCTACGCTCACGGAAGCGCGTCTGGACTTCAGTTCATCAAGAGCGGCGAGGATGCTCATCTATCTTTTCGCTCATCTATCTTTTCGAATCCGACGCTCTGTTCTCCAAAGATTTCATCGCATCCCCTATCTCTTCAGATTCTCTCTTCCGTCTCGATTTCTCTGCTTCATCGTCCTCGGCCTGCCATGGTTCGAAATTTCTCGTCGCACCCGCTTCAACGACGTAATCTGAATTCTGTGGATCGGTCTTTATCATCATCTCACCGGAGCACTTGGTGCACTTGAAATAAAACCTAAATATTTGGATCCCCAGATTTGTCTCACCAATAACATCTTCTTTGCGGGAATTAAACTTAGTACCTCTATAGATCCAATTCCCGCATGTATTGCACCGGATGCTCATAGGGAGCATCATCCTAACCTTCAATTGTTGGTTCTTGGGTCACCGGACTCTCAAAAGCTTTGACGGATCGAAATCAAACGGATAATACTTGTTCAGAATTTTTCTCTCACCCATTGCCGAAAGATCACAAAGTAAAGAGGGAAACGAAAATAATAAGCAACTGAAATGGAAGAGGGGGGGAGAGAGAGAGAGAGAGAGAAACAGAGTATGTGATGGGGCGCAGGCAGAGAAATCTGAGAATACAACGGCGGTTGGAAGGTGAGGTCGCCGGTGCAGGTAGAGAAATTAAAATTTTTGTCCCAAATTATTTGAACGTCAACTTAATTGTAAATTGTTAAATTTGTTCAAATTATTGTGAATACAACTGATAATCGCATTTTTAAAATTTTAACTATCCAACTCATGATTAATAAAATACTTAAAAATGATTAATTTTGTCTATGTAATAGATCCAATTTATCATTCACTCTTGGTGGCGTTTGATTCGTTGGAATGTTTCTGAGGGAATTGGAATCTGTGAAAGAATTAGAATCTGTCAAGAATTGGAATCCAATTCTATATTCTGTTTGGTTGGCAGTAAATATTCTGTTTGGTACGCAGACATGTCAGATGAATTTGATTTTAGTAATGTAAAATGACATAATTGTCCTTCTTATTTTTTTTGCTTTATTTTAGTTTGTTTTACAACTTACATGTAATAATATATTATAAAAAATTAAAAAATATTAAATTTTCATTTTATTGATTGATTATTCGTTTCAATAAATTATAAAAATCATGCTAATAAACATTATAAGTTAAAATCATCGCAATCAAAATATGTTAATAAGTTACCAAAAGATAAAGCAATATTTCGATACATTCCAATCGGAGTATGTTAATTAGTTATCAAAAAATATACCAAAAACTATTTTTATTTAATATATGAATTAGAAACCCGACCCGACAAGACACGAAAAAAAAATATTTTTATTCAATAAAAACATTGACTTAATTGAAAAAAATTATATATAGAGGGGTATTATTGTAATTATTCCTAAATATATAAGGTAAAATTATATATTTTTTTCGAGTTGAGTCCGATTTTTTTACCCTAAACCCGAACCGAATATCACACTTAAAAAACCCGGACCCGACTATCACACTTAAAAAAATCCAACCCGACTCGACCCGAATATCACTTAAAAAACCCGACCCGACCTGAACAAAATAAAGTTTCACCCGACCCGACCCGAATATATGAATTAGAAATCCGACCCAACCCGACCCGAAATAATAAAAAAAATATTTTTATTCAATAAAAACAGTGACTTAATTGAAAAAAAATTATATATAGAGTGGTATTATTGTAATTATTCCTAATTATATAAGGTAAAATTATATATATTTTCGGGTCGGGTATTTTTCACCCTAAACCCGAACTCGACCCGACCCAAATATCACACTTAAAAAAACCGACCCGACCCGACCAAAATAAAGTTTCACCCGACCCGACCCGACCCGAATATATGAATTAGAAATCCGACCCGACCCGAAATAATAAAAAAATATTTTTATTCAATATATGAATAAGTTACCAAAATATTGATGAGGGTAATATGATCAAATTTCAATTCCCTTCAACAATGGAATTGAATTCCATCCATTCTTGGATGAAATTCACTTTCCCTCATTTGATGGAAAGTTGAAGCCATTATGGATTTCAATTCCCTTGGAAAACTTGAACCAAACATAGGAAAGTGGTGGAATTGAATTCCAATTCCCCCCAATTCTAAAGGATTCATGCCAACCAAACGCCACCTTATAGTATTTTCGTATCAATTTAACCTTTAAAGTTGTTTAATTTCACCATTTTATACCATATTCCTAACTTAAAATCTTAAATTAATAACGCTAAATCCTAAACTATAACCCTATAACCACTCAACCTTAATCTCTAATTTAAAACCCTTAATTTAGGGTTTTAAGTGAGGGATATGATAGAGAATAATGCAATTGAACAACTTGCTAAATTGATATGAAAATATGATAGGTGCAAAAATGATAAATTGAATCTATTATAAGGGCAAAAGTTACCCTTTTACCTTAATAAAATGTATGAAAAACTCTCTTTGTTGATAAAATTTTACGTAATTGTTTTACTTTCACCCATACGGTGAATGTGACAAAAGCTAATTTATATCAAATTTTCAGAATTATTCAGTTAAAAATTAGACCCCAACAAAGAACCAAATGCAATTAAAACAAGAAAGCAACTTAAATAATAAAGAAAGACTGCGAATGGGAAGGCAAAAGAAGAATTGACTTTGTCAACAAAGCATGACAAACATGATAATGTCAAGTATTCACAAAAGGCAATGGTAAGAGTCCAACATTTCCTATTTGTCACAAAAGGTTAGCTGTCCATTGGGAGAAGCAGTACAAATGTACAATTGACTGGTCATTGAGGCATTTCATCCTATGGCAAAAGCAACTAAAGAAAAAGACATCAATCAATCATACAAGTCAGTACCATTTATCCCCATTTTTTGGATTTTCGAAAATATTTATGTCCGACACTTATAAATATATGATACTCCAAACATATCTATATTCGATACTCACCTAGTTCTGGAACTGCCGAGAGTGAGTTCTAGATCATCTGATCCGCATTCTTCATGAATCCTCTCTCCTTCCCACGGTTTAACGAGTCCTGTTGCATTGCTTCCAAATGCGAACTCGTCTGAAATGACTTCAGACATGGGAACATCGGCTGTATGATCCAATCCTGCAGCTATTGCAGGAGAGCATGTCCCGCTTTGCCCTGGAGTCCACATTCGAGATCCTCCACCAGCTAGAACTTCCTCCTTGAAGCCAAAGGGGTTTGAGGAGACAAGGCTGAATGTGGGAGAAGTTGGCCCACTATGAGGAATTCGGACCCCAGTAAACCACTCTGGGTCAGGAATGATCTGACGACCAGGGCTAGGTGGAGTTGAAGAGGGCAGGAAGGAGTGTTGTTGTGCACTCCAACCTGGACAAGCAGACTGGTCCTCCCAAACAGTTTTTGTTCGTGGGGTTCGAGCTGTTGGTGAGCTTAATGGAGGGGTGACAGGAGCACTGATAGAACCACCAGGAATATAGATATGAGGAAGCTTGGAAGACGACGCTGATGAGGATGCAGATGAGAGATTTTTGAGCCATGGGATAAGAGAACTCCCATCACCATTGGGATTAACCACATACGAAGACGAAGCTGGGCTTGGAAAGGATGATGACATGGGGCTTGGGTTGTAAGAAGCACAAGGGCTCGGGTGATAAGATGAACTGGGGCTCGCTGTTGCAGAGCCACCTACCATATCCATGCGCTCCAAAGGCTTGCAACCCTGTGGAAATTAGATAGTTGTCAGTGCCATTACTGCAAGCCTAGTATGCTCAATTATTGTAATATGATGTTTCAATAAATAGCAGCTCCAATGACTGTAACTCATTCCAGAAGTTGATAAGATACATAAGGTCGTTTATTTGAAAAAACTAGGGCCATTGTTCACCTCCTCCATTTTTCTTTACGATCTCAACAATCTTAGTTACCAATGTAAATCAATTTCAACTATAGACATTGTTATTCCATTGCTTTAGATATCATATCAGACTCACAATATCCCCCCAAAAAACTCAATCTCTTTGTGCTTTGATGGAAATGCTTATTTAGAAATGCATTTGACAAATTTTACCTCAATCTGCTCGGGAGCAAACACCTTAGTTGTTTTATACATGAAAATGACCTAAACTTTTCCCTTTAAGCTGCAGTCCTAGCAATCATCCAATTGATTCAAACTTCTATAAAAATAGTAGGCCATACTTGTTAACTACTTATACAGTCTTTGCTTAGTTGAGTGATCAAGCTAAGAACATCAAAGTAAGCTAAAATGTGGTATTAAATTGGCCAAGAAGTCGAAATAAATACTATGTGTCCAACACGGATAAATTCATTCCCCCCCCTCCCCGAATTTTACATATATTTTACAAGATTATACTCACATACAAATGTCCAAAAATGCATTAGACAGATTTCGAACTCGATTGCTTCGAGAACAAATGATGAATTGAAGTATTACATATAAATATTGTCAAGAACCCAGAGAGGGGAAAGGAAAAAGGTGGTTGGAACACCTCTCAGGTTGCCAGCTAAATCTCGTGTAAAATGGTAACAAAGCACGTGAGAACCTGGATTTCCTTTCCTTTTCCCTCTGGTCTTAACATGGTTGAAGTCAAGATCTCATCATCTCAAAGAAATTTTGCTTATTATTGCTAATTCATGGTAAAAGATGGTATCTAAATTCAATAACAACACAGGATTTTGAGAGCTGAATTCTAAGATTTCTCATTCAAACAAGCCCACGAGCTGTGCATGTTAGCACCAGATCTTCTTGTTGGTTGAATTTCAACTTTGGTTCGCCGGGACCAGCGTATGCTAGCTAAACGGGGACACATCCGAACACTAACATGCGCCGCAAAAGGCGGCACAATTCAGAAAATAGATCAATATTTTATTTGATCTTTCTATTTCTTGTGCTGATTATTTATTATTACTACACTAGCAATAATTACGATCTTCTCCGTGCTAACATAGTGAAATTTCAAATTATTAGGATCTTCCTCCTGCTAAATATACCGGAGAAAAATAATTTTATTTTACTTCCGATCTTTCAAAAAGTAAAAATAAACAACTCTAAATGCAAGAGTTTAGCCAATTTCTTTTCCGAAAAAAGAGAAATCGATTCTTCCATCTGCATCGTTTTCATTTTCCCCTACTCAGAATCAATTAGTTAAAAAGAGAGATAGAGAGAGAGGTTAATGTGAGAATAGTGATTACCTTACGATAAGTAGTGCCATCGGGTTCAACAGTCCAACCGGCTTCATTACAAAGAGCTTTGAGAACTTCATTGTTATCGCAGTGCTTGGGAAGCTTATAGTTACCGTACATCCGAAGTCCGGCGAAGATCTTCGCAGCAATTGCTCTCCTCCGCCGTTCTCTCCGCTTGTTGTTCTCTCTCTCTTTCCACGTCGGCATCCTCGTCCCCGGTGTCATTTCAAATCGAGAAAAAAAGCCAATACCAGATTCGTTTAACTTAAAAAATTATAGTTTGGTTATTTCTTCTTCTTCTTTTTTAAAAAAAGACAGAGAATCTGAGCAAAACTTAACGAAAAAACAAAAATGAAAGAAACTATGGTGAATTAAGAAGATGAGGTAAAACTAAAAAATTTAAGCTGCAAAGGCTCCGTGAGAAACAATTTTCAGCTTTTAACTTTTAGACCGGTAAACGAAGAAACCAGACGACGGCGGTTTATGGCGGGTGAACTGGTGGGAAAGCCGTAGAAGGTGAATTGATGAGATCTAGTTGAAGATGGATTTGGATCGGCGGATCATTGGATGGTCCGGACCGGAAACCGGGGATGGTTTTTGTGAAGAGTTGAAAACCCGGGAAGAAGAAAAAAAGAACGAGGAATTGAGTTTAAAGGCTTGGAATTGAATTGGAGGAGGATTTGCGAGGTGGTCAGAAAATACTGCATTGATAGTATATCATTGCCCCCTGATATCTTGTTAATTTACAAATTTGCCGCTTATAATGTATTATAGTGTAAACTACGATAGTAGTTACTAAACGTTTACATAATTTTAACTTTAGTCACCAAACTTTTAAAACTTGTACTATAATCACTAAAAGTTCATTTCACTTTCATTGTGATCACTGTCCATAGTTATCATAAAGAAATACTAACATGACATGTTAAAGTTTTCTTCCCCCACACAAAACCCTAAGATTCAAAATTGACAACCGTTGCAAAAGATCGATTTCTCGATGAATGAAGCAATTAACGATACAAATACTTTATTTGATAAAAAGATTAACATATTTGATTTCAAGTTAATCTGAAAGTTAATCTACCGACTAATAGTAACAAATCAAAAAATTTAACTTGTCAATATCAACATTGTATCAACTTGAAACTGAACTATCTTAATTCTTTGACCAAATGGATTATTCCTATCGTTAGAATTGACCGACAATTGTTTTGTTCATAAAATATTAACCTTTGTGACAACTGTAAGTTTTAGGACCTTAGGGTTTTTTAGGAAATAAAACTTTAATATGTCATGTAAATATTTCTTAACAACAACTAACAATAATTGCGGTAATAAAAAGCGAATTAAAATTTTAGTGACTGTAACACACGTTTCAAAAGTTTATTGATTAAAATAAAAATTATCTAAATGTATAGTAACTACCAGTGTAATTTACCCAATATGGGTAGAAAATTTACGCCACAGAAGCAACACGTTAATCGTTACTTTGATATCTCTGCATGACCAACGCGCGACTTGAGCTTACCACGTGGATACCGTCTTCGGCTCTTCGCTAATAAGTTTAGTAACCGCCTAGGTCCATCTGATAAGCAACTTAAGGATCCAGCGCACGTTCAAAATCCCACCTCCAAATTACACATAATATATATTATTTAATATAATATTTTTAGATAAAATATATTTACAGTTTCAATGATAAGAGAAGATTTTATTTTTCTTAAAAGTCTCGGATTTAAATAGAAGACTATATATTTACTTATACGAATACAAATTTTGAATTTTTTTGAGGCGATAAATTTTTAAATTTTTGGAATTAGAAAGAGTGAAAATGTTAAAACGAAAAAAAGTTGAAATAAATCAAAAAGTTGGATTAACATAGACAAAGAGCCTTCGAGAGAATCCATAGAACAATCCACCATGTTGACTTTAGCCAATATTTGTAAACAAGAGACAGTTGAACAATTCCATCAAAAGTCAAAAACACAAACCAGTCAACTTCTAGATAAACCAAGTTTCCAACTGCTTCACCATTTGAATTCCATATACACAAATGAATCACAAGAATGCCACCAGTTATGTTATAAGGACTCGGGTGTAAGTATTGGACACGGATACGACTAGTTCTTCTACGTTTTTCTGTATATTTGGACGATCCTTGAAGGTCATATTTCCGTATACAAATGTTGAACACGAGTAACTCATGAAAAATGAAGAGTCCGACCAACATAGGCCACCAGCATTAACTATACTCATGCTATCTGTAACATGATGATCCAAGCAAAGTTACTATGTTACTCTGATCCTTCAAGTTCATTTTCCCTTGAGTACTTGTCCAACATATATATTCAGACATGGATATGGAGATATGATCCTCAAAAGTTAATGAAAATTTTTTCAAAATTAAACATACCCGTATCAGATATATACCTGTATCCGTCTTACTTCCGAGTAACAGGAATTTATGATAGCTGTAGGAGTATTTTAGAAGACTTGTCATGTGGATTGGCTTAGCTTTACAACCATCTTCAGCAATTGGTTGATTGAATCCTTTACTTCGTCCGGAACTGTCAGTTTTGCAGGCAGTAGGTCTAAAGCATACAAAGTGATGATTTTCATTACATCAACCAAAAGCAAACTATTGGTACCAATTCCCCATAAACTCTTATTCGCATACTCGCATGAATCCTTTAACGCGCATCGACTGCATACCTGAAGAGATCATGGACAAATGAAACAAACAAGATATGAAGATTTATACTCAGTATAGAACACAAACTTTTGTTGGTGGGATCATCGAAATAGTGGCTTACGGTGTGTTCTTGAATTTTAAAGAACTTGCGCAGTCTCTTAGCAGCAAAGACATTATTTTTATCAAGGGAAGGGCATCCGAAAAGCACCACGTTTTTTAAGTGATTGCCTGGCAACCATCTGCAAATACCGAAATTTAAGATTGTGTTATTTTACGAGAAGCAAAAGGCCAGTCATTCGATAAAGAATTCACCAAAAGAAGGAAAGGAGAACTGAAAAAGGGCTACATAAAAGCATGATAAACTGTATTGGTGTACAATATGGTTGTCCATAGCATATCAAGTCAAACTTATGGTAGAATCATTGAAATACTTAGTTTTTTTTGTACATTGTATCTACGAAACGGAATTTCAGATCAGTCTCCAACATTGATACTATCGATGATAAAGTAATTGTTCATAGCATAATCCTTAATAAGCACTTCTTTTTGTTCTTCAAACATTTTAGCAGAGCTTTAGCCATTTTTCATGGATTGTGGGAAACCGCTTCATTTAGACAAATTAAACACTTTATTGAACTTCTAAGTCTCATTAGAAGAACAAGAACAATTAACACGAGAACTTCCGGTACTAAATATGCTAAACCTACCAACCAACTCACCAGAAATTATATACCTCACATGATTAGCTTGAGATATTCACCAGCAGATTTCAGTGCACAGAACAAAGTTAATGTCTCATTGACAAATATGAGAAGGAATTACTAAATAATTCTCCATAATGATTTTAAAAAGATACAAAAGCCTTGAAACACTATAAAATCTCTACAAATGCAGAAAACCGATGCTTCATTTAGCTATGGAGAAAACAGTATAAATATGACAACTAGGACTAATTCTTCCATTTCTCTGATTAGCTATAAAGTAAGACCTATTGTGATCAACTGAACTAGTTTCCATTGACAAAAGAAACCATAATTCCTTGCCAGAATTAGCAAACAGTGCTAAATCCAAATTAATAAAAAGAAAAGACAAAAGGGGAAAATGTTCTTACTTTGCAATATCTTGGTGATCTTTACCAAACTCGTAAGCAGCGAACTTGATAAAATCCCGGCCATAACTATTCCCAAAGTAACCAAAATCTAACTTGTTGTCTTCCAAAAAACTAGCCTTGTTAAAATACCCTTTTGCAAACAGATGCCTAATGAAACTCTCAGCTAACTGTGAAAGATCCTTCAAAGCTCTTACCTCCCTCCTTTCTCTCCTAACTTTTACCATCTTTTTCACCTTGTCTTGTTTCTTTTCACACCCAGGCAACTCAACCAAACACTTAACTTTCTGGGGTTTGTTCCCATCTGGTCCCTGGTTTTCTTTCTTTTTCTCTTTTGGGTTTCCTTTCAAGTTCCTAACTTCTCTCTTCAACCCAATGTTTTTTACTTCTCTCTGGGCTTCAGTTCCACCAGCGGCTTGAAACAATGCAGAAAGTGGGGTTTTGGTTTGTTTCTGGGGATAGGAATTAAGGGTTCTTCTAATTATGAAGGATGGTGACGGAGAAGGGATTTTGGAAGAAGGATTCCGGGTTTTGAGGAGACATTTGGTTTGGTTAGAAAGGAGAGCTTTTAATCGAGACATTTGCAATTGATGGGTGTTAGAAGGGTTTAAGATTCGGTAGAGACGTTAGTTTTTTGTGCAGCGATAACATTTAATATTTTAAATATGATAAACTACAAAAATAGCCATTAAAGTATGAACAATTTTCATTTTCAGCATTAAAGTTTCAAAAGTAACAAAACGGTTAATAAATTTATTGTGTTATGACAAATCAGTCACTCGATCGTTAATATTTGTTACCCCTAATAATAGATAGCTGACATGGCACGTTAGACGGATTTATTCGGCACCGTTTGGCTATGCAGGATAAGACTGGCCTTTGATTCCCATATGGAAAAATGCAAGTTCAAATTTTTTACTTTCCCTTCTATGGCATAATGTCAAAATTAACCTTCTAATTTTTATTAAAATGATAATTTTTAATTTTTACTTTTTAGAGTATTTGGACTTTTAACGTTTTATTTTATGGTAAAAAGTCTCAATATTTGAGTAAATAGTCACTTTGACCCTTATTCTTTTTTTTTGAGTATTTTGACTCTCAACATTTCATTTTAGGACAAAAAAATCCTACCGTTTAACTGAATAGTCACTTTGACGCTTATTTTTTTGGAGTACTTTAACTCCCAATGTTTTATTTTAAGATAAAAAAATCCCTATTTCAGAGCGTTAATCATTTGTTAACTAATAATTTCCATCTACGAAAGGATCTTTTTGTCCCAAAATAAAATGTTGGAATCAAAATACTCCAAAACAAAAATAGGACAAAAATAATTTAATAAACATTGAAAGTTAATTTTAGTATTACGCCTTCCTCTTTCCTAGAATAGGACCTTGATCTACTCTAGCGTTAACCAAATTGCTGCGGGAGTCTGTTAGTTGCTTCTGTTAATGGTATCTTCTGAATCAGAGCTCGTAATTTCATCAACACTTTCTGCATCTATGATGATTGTATTAAGCACGAATAAAACGATTTCGTTAGATAAAAATTTATTTTTGTTTCTTGAGGTTTCATTCAAACATCACATATGCATGAATATACGAGCGTTCAATATCAAATAATTTAAAATCTTTGAACAGATATTATCTTCTATTCGTCCTAGACATACAAAAAAATTGACCATCTAAAAGCTTTTATGCCTATTATTTAGGAAGAGAATTTGTGTTTGGAATTAGGGTTAAATTACAGTTACAGAATTTGTTATTACTTGATGAATGTAACATGAAATATGACGGTCGGATCGATAAATATTAACCGTACAAAAAAGGTGTATCAAGTATACAAAAATACATGTTGGAAGACAAAACAATCTCGAGTAAAGCCCTACTTTCAGTGGGGAAAGCCGTCGGAGAAAATAAACAGCTCCAAGTTAGTAGGAAGCTTCCAAAACTGGTGAAGAATTGAGCTTTATATATTCAAACAGAAAATACATATTGTATCAATAAATCTATCTGTTCAATGGTTCTAACTGTACCTCCATTACTTCAGGACTGTCTGAACGCTTTTGAGCAAAATCCCGGTTCGGGCTTAAAAGGTCATCCGAATCCTCTTCTTCAACGTTTCCGAGAACCCAGTCGTTACCTCCTAGTAATCTTCCCCTCTGTTGTCTTTCACGATACTCCAAATAAATGACGATCAATGCAGTGACCGAGAACCATATTACTAATGCCCAGCTAAGTTCGTGAACGTTTTCAGCTCCGTATCTTTCTCCTAAATGCTTCATTCCGGTGAAAAGTGCTGCGATTCCAACAACAATGGCACCTCGGCCAACGATTACATGGAAATACTCCCAAATAAGCCTCTTTGAGGAAGCATCCTCCCCTTTAGCAGGTTTCTCAGGCCTGAGGTACGCATTCATTGGTTGCACACAGGCAAAGATTATAGCAACAATTCCAAACTTAACATGTAATGAACTGACATAGAAACCCTGAAGTTCAGCCACTGCAAAAGGGAGGCCAAGTAGGATAATTGCTAATCCTGAATATTGTAGGTAAATGTGAATTCGGAACCATCCGTCCCCCTTTACATGTTTTAGGAATCTAGCGGCCAATATTCCACCGGGAAGCAAAATACCCCAAGCGAGGAACATCATAAATCCATGTACTGCTAAGACAGGTTGTAAACCTTGCTCAGCCTCGGAAGAACCCTGGATGAGGAGCACCGGCACGGGCCTTTGACTCGTCAACGTATGCATATTTGTCTCACCGAGGTGTTTATCGGTCCACTTAGAGCCCATTGCCCATATGACTTTAAGAGGAGTTGTAGGATCAATAATGTTCTTGCACTCAGGTTTGCCATTATCATTGCATGATGGCCTTAAGGGACGTTCGAATTCCAAAGTAACGATGCCATTTTCGGACCTGCACCTGACATGGGTCAGATTTTCATTTGTTGAATGGAGATTAGAGGGATGCTTTCCATCAATCCAATATGTATTTAAATGTCCTCCAGAATCATCAATCCAACCCACATAAGCGTAGCTATTCACCATCCCACTACCCAAACCTATTGCAAGATAGCCACTCTTCTTCATACTACGGGCCGCAATAGTTATCGAATCTTCCGATAACGTCCAAAAAAAAGTAACTTGTTGATCATCTAAAAGCACACTATTGTTATACATGACAGATATGTCACCATCAACAACTTGAACTTTCCACCCCATCTTCTGCTGGTACAATGACTGATAATACACTTGATCAGGGGTATTCCTATCGGGAACCCAAATCAATTCATGAGGACTTGCTATGACTCGTTCCGCCTCTGGCCCTCCGGAATAAATGGTCTCAGTTGCATTCCTCAATGTTGCATTCCCACCTAGAGAATCCGAAGTAATGTACAATGCAACATCATGCCCTGCCTGCAGCGAAAACTTAACTGGCACCCCTCTTTCCACTCTCAACACAGGAGCTTCTGTATTATTAATATACAAAACCTTAGATGGACTCGGCGGATTTGGATAATGCAATGCCTCTCTGGTTGTAATAACAAGCGGGGCATCCGGCGAAGCAATAATCAAATCTAGATCCTCTTTGTCATCACTCATCAGCATCCAATGGACCGAAACAAGCATTCACCTTCTCCGAAACAATAAGCACCAAATGTCCATATGTAACCTTCTCTGAACTGCCATGATATTGTGGCAAAAAATACGACCGGGCTTCATCTGGTGGTTTCAGTTTCCCTAATGCCCAAATAACCCTCATTTCCTCTGTAGGATTCACTGGCAAATCATATTTCTCATCAGTCGAATTCAATGGCTTCCTAAACATAACTAAGGAAACCCCATCTCTCCTATGTCCATAAACCAACCTAGTATTATTTACCATCAACCCATCTTTCGAATTCTCATATGCTACATCAGGGCAAACACCTATCGCTGTACCTTCTTTAGAATTCAACTTGCATTCGCTATAATCAGTAATGAAATAATCATCAACAAATGGCATACCTTCCTCGGTGAAACCCGCCACCGTAACGTCAGCTCCGGTCATCAGCTCCTTCGTCTTATTCGGATTCGCCCACCCGAACGCCATGTAATTCGTCGTCGGCGTCGCCGCTTCTAACCCGATCTCGATCCAATTCTCATCCACATTCAAACTCCACCGTACCCTGTAATGATCCGACAAGTTCTTACAGTTATCTAGCTCTGTATGCACCGATTCCGGCACGGAATCCGATCCATTTTGAGGGAGGGTTACATGGCCGAAGTCCGAGGTGTTAGCGATATTCCAGACTCAGAGAACGTTGATCTCGTCCCAGCTAACGTTGGGGAATAAATGGACTGAAAACGATGCGTTTTTGTAAGCCGATTGATTGAGGCGTTGACCGGAGATGGGGAACCCGCTGGTGAGATTAGAGAAGTTGAGGGAGACGGCGCCCCAGAAAACGACGTCGGGTGAACCGGATAACATGTCGAATTCGGTGACTCGGAAAGAGCAGTCGTCGAGGATTTTGAGATGGCCGCGGAGTTGGTGTCGGATCATTTTGAAGTTCGATTCGAACCCGACTAGGGAGCTGGTGTTGGAGCATTTCCGACCCGAATCCGCATTGCAACAGACGATGGAATTGATTAGGAAGAGCAGGATTATGAGGGAAAATTTGGAATTGTACATTCGAATCGGGTCGCGGTAGGGAATCCGAATTTTGGTGAGGATGAAAATGAATGTTTAAAAGAGAAGGGAGGCGGCAATGAGTGGGGGTGGTGGTGGTGGTGACTCGGTGGAGCCGGAGCGAGTCGTCAACTCGTAGTTTTACGTTTATTCTTTCATTAAGTTTTTCGCCTTTTGTTTTAAGAGAGATATAAAAGAACAATTAATACTATAATACTATTTTTAATGGGTAAACTACAGCCCTGGTGTCCTTATTTTTAACATAATAATTATTATAATATAAATTTTATGGATTTAGATATGCTATAGATTTAAAATTTAAAAAATTCTATTTCTAAAATATATTAATAAAAAATAAGTTATTATGATTTAATTTTAAAAGAATCGAAGGATTTAGCCCCTCTTCTTTTATTTAGTGAAAAATTGTCCATTACTTTCAAAATTGCTTATTTTAGTAAACTTTTTCCGTCATGTCCCTTGGCTAACTTTTATTTTTAACAGACATGACAGAAAAGTTTAGTCTAGAGATTAAAATGAGTAATTCAAAACGTAATTGGACTAATTTTGACCGAATAAAAGTAGAGGGATTAAATCCGCACAATTTGTTAAGTATCAGGGCTATTCTCAGAATTTTACCCAAAAATAATGAATGTCAAATTTTGACACATACTATTTTAATATATAATTGTGGACTTATTTGAAAAGTTTTTTAGATTTCCATTGCTTATTATGCTTTGTATAATCTCTAAATATGGATTTTCTTAGTATCAAGTCAATTAAAAACCGTCCTCCATCTAACTCTACATCTTTATACCATATTTGAAAATTGTTGACGTCAACGAATAAAATATTTTTGTACTAGATGATAAAATCCGACTCATTTGATAAACTTTGCATAGATCATTTTAAACAAGTGTTTTTAAGAGACAAAAAAA